AGTTTCATTTTTTGTGTCCCAATTAGATAGTCTGTATCTCTTGATGCTCATCATCACGTTGTACTTGGTCAATTTTCATTGATTCATTAAATTAGGACTCTTTAATATTGGTCATGTTTCTTAATTTGGAAGTTGAAATTGGGTTAAAAAGATGTACATATTGCATGTATTGAGCCTCCAGCAACGTAGTTACCATTAAGACAAATTACACTTTTACACGTTATTGATATTTACGTCACATAAGCTTTTTTTTTTTTGGAAAGCAATCCAAGTTTGAGTTTTCCGTGTCCAAGTGCAAAGCCTCCTACTCGGTCATGCCTCAAATTTTCACATGGAAAACATACTTTATATACTTTATGTACTTTTCACATGAAGGTGATGGTAGATCCACTATGTTTTGGTTTAATAACTGGCTTCCTGAATGTGGCCCTCTGATTACTTATGCTCAGTCTCATGTTTCTGATGCTGACCGATTGCAATATGTGACAGACTATGTGGATGTGTCGGGTTATTGGAAATGGGATTCTTTGCATTATCTGTTTCCTGCTTGCTTCATCCAGCGGCTCATGAATTTTCTTCCCCCCTCTGATCAAGATGGTAAGGACCACATCATTTGGAGCGAGACATCAGATGGGATTTTCACTCTAAAGTCAGCTTATGATTTGCTAAATAACAACACAGCTACAGCTCTAGCTTATCAATGGGACAATATCTGGAGGTGGATGGGACCGGAACGAATACGTATGTTCCTTTGGTTGTTGGTTGGAGAAAAGTTGTTGACTAATAGTCGGAGGCTTCAACGTCACATGACCTCTTCGGGTGTTTGCCCTAGATGTAATATCTCTTGTGAAACTAATCTCCACGCTATCCGGGATTGCCCTCAGTCAAAAGAGGTTTGGAGGTTGGTGGTTCATCAAACCAGTTGGCAGGTATTCTTCTCGCTTAATCTGCATGACTGGATCTTCTCTAACTTAAAAAATTGTAGAAGCTTGGCAATGGACGATGATTGGCCTTTGACTTTTGGGATATTAGCGTGGAGCATTTGGAGGAGTAGAAACACTTGGGTTTTTGAAGGAAAAATCAATAATGCTTACACAATTGCCCACTCAGCCTTGGGGTATAGCAATTGTGTCAAGCATACAGCTACCACTCTCCATGCAGCAGGTCTTCAACCGAGAAACAGTGTAGAGAAGATGATAGCTTGGTCTTGTCCTCTGTTAGGATGGGTTAAACTTAATGTTGATGGAGCTAGAGCTGCTAATGGGAACAGATCAGGATGTGGTGGTGTTATTCGTGACCCGTCCGGAGCTTGGATTATCGGTTTCTGCAAGAATTTGGGGCCAGGTACTATTTTGCGTGCAGAATTATGGGCTTGTTTGGAAGGTTTGCGTTTAGCATGGGAAAAAGGATTTAGAAAAGTGTGGCTGGAAGGAGATTCCCTCTCATCCCAACAGATTATATCTAATGGGTGTCATCAGGATCACCCTTCGTCGAGCTTGGTGCAACGTATTAGAGGAATGTTGCAAAGATGCTGGCAGGTGCAGATTTCTCATGTCCATCGTGAAGGAAACAAAGTAGCTGATTTCTTAGCTTCACATGCGTATAGCTTTCCATGGGATGTGCAAGTCTTTGATGACCCTCCTCCTGGCTGTCTTCAAAGTTTATACAGCGACACTGTAGGTGTTCGCTGGGCTAGGTTCTGTACTTAGGCCTTTTTGCTGTGTTTTTCATTTCCATTATCTTTTAAAAAAAAATAAAGAATCGAAGAAGCGTTATGTGAAATTTGAAAATTAATCTCTTGAAATTTTGTATTGACAGTTGACACAATAAAAAATACTACAAACTATCATAACGTGTTGGATGAACTTAATTACTTCTTTTCTTTCATGAAATTTCTCTCTTTTCTTTCATGTTACTACAAACTACCTCCTTGACACCTAATTGACAAATCATCAATCCATGCACACATGTATACCTATCCACTAGCATTTTAAGCCATATCCATCTATGGATTCACAAGTCTTGGCATCAGGACATGAAGCATCATTACATAAGTTCCCATACCTCATGTTGTATGAACTGCACCATTCACTTAGTATTCAAAATACATGCGTTTCAATCAACATTCATAAACTTGAATCTAAGGTCATGTTCAACATTTATATGCCAATACGTACCAAGGATTACAAGATCTCCCCCAAAAGAATGGTTTTAAAAGTAAATATACCCCAAAAAGATGTACAAGTAAAACCCAAAATACACATGTGAATCACATCATGCTCTATTAAATGACTCGAAGACCTAAGCATGCTTATTTTCTTTTGATGAGCTAGCACCTTCTTCTTGGGAACCTAAAACATATCCCCAAACGGAATGATATATAAATCTCAATAAATTAAGAGTTCTTGGAGATTACTCCAATCCAGAAGTTTAATTGCATGCATGAAAGATTAGAACACATGGTGTAATATAACATCATAATATGAGGCAAACTAAAATTGATTGATCTGTGCACCAAGTACACTGGGACAACCCGATGAGTCGTAACTCAAAGTGAGTGTCAACATGGCTTCCTTGAGTTGGACTTCTTATGATGAGTCCCCAAAAGGGAAGCCTATGTCATATTCTTTTGCCAAATGAACCTACACAAGCATAAATGCTCTCCGTGAATCCAGTACTAGGAGCACTCTGGTGAGTCATACCTCAAGGTGAGTGTTTGTATGGAACTCCTAAGAGTTAAACCTCTTCAGATGAATCCTTTCAAGGGAAAGTCAATACCATATTCTTTTGGCCAATCAACCTCAATCAATCACTTCTTGATTACATGGCTATATGAACAAGCACATCATACCACACACCTAACTGTATTTTAGCTCATACACTAATCATACAATCTGGCTTCTAGTGCTTGTTCATTGGTCCTTACACCAATGAATAACGACTCTCTATATGAATGCACATTACACCATACACTAACAATCCAAAAATCATCCAATACAAGAACCACTACTCCAAAGGAGTATTGTGGAACAATACGTGAGACTAATTCTAAGTTTCAAGTGCTTACCCCTTGAAGTAAAGTTTCCAAAGCCTTTACCCCAAAACTTATAATATTTACACTTTTGCTATAAATTAAAACTTAACTCAAATTAGATTTTTCACTTAATTTAGCCCTTTAATTAACTCATTAGTTCCCATTTATCAAAATGTAATTTGGGTTATTATAGAAACCACAAAATCTTATAAGAGGAATGTGTATATCATCCATGGAGAAAGTGAGACAACCCATTCTTCAAAAAATCTTATAAGTGAACCTTAATGGAAATGACTATCACAAGCCTAATCATTTGCTTTAGAATCACACTATCCCTTCCATATTAGATTATTAGAGTTTGTATATAGCACACAATGGTTTTAAATATATATATATATATATATATATATATATATATATATATATATATATATATATGGACAGGATTTCTTGACACCAAATTTTAACTGTTAATTTTCATAAATATAGTGGTATAATTTATTGGGTCATACTTATTAATTAATTATTAATTTTTAATAAATTATAAATTGATGAAAATGAATACTTTTTAATTTGATACGGGTATCAAATAAACATGACACAGAGAGAGAGAGAGAGTTTAATATGAAGGTTGTACATCCGCACCATGTTCCTTTTTTCACACTTGATCTCTCTTGTATGCACAAACACTTCGCACAGCTGCTTACATTTAAATGAGGCTCACAAGCTAAAATTATTACGCTCACTCACTCCATGCCAGGGAATCTCGCAAAATATATATACCTCACTCTTTCATCAAAAAGTCACCCTCTAAATAGGATAAATATGTTCCTTTTTTTTCACACTTGATCTCTCTTGTATGCACGCACACTTCACACAGGTGAGGATGTGCTGCTTACATTTAAATGAGGCTCATAGGCTAAAACGATTAGGCTCACTCACTCCATTGCAGTGAATCTCCCAAAATATATATACCTAACTCTTTCATCAAAAAGTCACCTTTTACATCACACTCACCATTGTGATTATGCTTAGATTTAGCCTCAATACAGCCAAACGTGCCCTTCACCTCGCCCTTATTCTTAGCTCTAATCTAAGATCACATTTGAGCTCTAATCTATTACCTAGCTAAATCACATTAATATACTTCATTTTTAAAGGGGAAAAACATTACACCGGCCAATCTCAAAGAGATCAAAAGGATTAAAAAATTTCATTGCTAGCAGGACTGTGACTCAAAAGTTGTCAACTCACACTCGTCATTCTCAATTTCCCACCATTATTTTCTTCACGCAAATTCACAATTTGTAGAACAACATTCGAAGCAAGTCACACATCATAAATTTGTATAACTTAACAAAATACAAAATTGTATTTAAACAAAAAGATTTGACTTAATTAATACAAAAGGTAATGTTTTATTCAAGCTAAAATGACTATATACATATATGAAATCGCAGTTATATTTCTTGGATGCACCTATTTACTTCTTTTCCTTCGTGAAGAAACGTTTAGGCCTAGTGGTTTTAAGAATTTTTTTTTTTTTTACCAAGAACTGTTTTATCCTTTAATTTCATAATGAAATAATAATAATTCGTAAAACATAAAAAGAGCTCCATTTGTTATCTGGCTCTTGATAACATATTCTATGGATACAAGAAAGGAATTACAGACAGATAGTTTCTTTAAAGACGCATATTGATCTTTTTCTAAATCATTTTTTTTGTAATATTTTAAATCATTTTTATCTGTTGCTTATGTAGCCTGCTAGGTCTCAAATAATAAGATTAACAGGGACTAAAATTAACAAAAATTTATGAATCTCGAGAATGGTCGATTTTAATTATCTAACAATTAAATGCCGAAAAATATGCATGATCTACATTTACAATAAATATTTAGAAATGTACCCAAGAAAAAGAAAGAATAAATATTTAGAAAATAGTTATTGAAAAAATATATCAAGTCAAAAAATTGAAAAATCTTCATTGTCAGTGGGACTGTGAGTACTCAACTTGAACTTGTCAACCCACACCATCTTATTATTCTCCCCATTATCCTTTTTTTCTTCCACCTTTTTATTTTTCTCTCCATCATCATCATGACTACTGGGGAAAAAAACCTCATGGACAAACAACTCTACATCTTTTTTATTAAACCCAACCGTGTCCTCAACCTCATTTCGAGGAATATAAGGAGGCCTTGCTATTTGCAACACCATGTCCCACTTAACTCCTCTGAAGAAATCGTGGCCCTTGATTTCATCCACCTGGATCCGACGGTCAGGATCTTTTTCCAGCAATCTCCCAATCAAATCCCTTAACGCCGTCTTCTCCCCCGTCAGCTCCGGTTCCTTCGTCAAAATCCGGAAAAACGTTTCTTTCCGATTATCTCCCCTAAACGGCGTCGTTCCATATAGCAACTCGTACAAAACGACGCCGAATGACCACCAATCAACACCAAAACCGTGACCCTTTCCAGATACAATTTCAGGTGCCACATACTCTTCCGTTCCGACGAACGAGTTCGATTTCTCAACCGAGTCCGACTCGGTCCTCCGCGCTGAGTTGATCACGGGTTGAGGCTCCGAGTCCGAGTCACACGGCGAGATGCCCGAGTTACAGTAACTGTAGAGCCGTAAGAGTCGTCGCTTACTCATGTGTTTCTCCGTCAACGAGTTACGACTCGCCGACGAGTCGCGACTCAGTGATTGAGCGAGTTTAGGGTTCAACTTCGTGGAGAGATCGAAATCGACGAGCATTATGTGACCGTTTTCTTGGATCATCACATTCTCTGGCTTCAAATCTCTGTATACTATTCCCAAATGGTGCAAATACTCCAATGCGAGGACCAATTCCACAGCGTAAAACCTTTACAAAAAGTCAAAAAAAATTAATTAATAATCAAAAGAATTTTTTTTTCTTCGTTTGGTTGTTAAGAAAATGAAAGAAAATAAAATATTTTTGTGTTTTTTTTTCTCACTTTTGACTAATTCCTTAGATTTTTATCATACATTACAAAGCACAAAATTTAGGAATTCTCGGATTCTCCAAAACTTTCGCGGCAACCAATCAGAACGAGTCCTCAGATTCGTTATAAAATCGAAACAAAATTTCCAACTTTTTTCTTTTCCCGAAACAAAACAAAAACAAAGAAAATAACTTGTTTACAAAGAAACAGAAAGAAAATTACTTGTTAAACAAACAAAACTTCGCAAATTTTCTTTTTACCGAGCTTTCTCGGTAACCAAACAACGAGAAGGAGAAAAAAATTACTTTCTCGGTAACAGAAATTTACTTGGTTTCACCAAATTTCCCAGACTCTTCACATAAAACAAACACCACTTCGCAAATTTTCATTTTCCAAAATTTTCTAGGTAGCCAAACAGCGAGAAGGAGAAAAAAAATGACTCACTTAATAAGAAACAGAAAGGAAAATTACTTGACAATTAACGAGATTCTTTACTTAAAATAATATAGTCTCGGAAAATTTAATTTTCCTAAACTTTCTCAGTAACCAAACAGCATAAAATTTATTGATTTGAAGTACCTGATGGTATCATCAGCAAACATTTTCTCAGTCTGTTTCTTTCTAAGAGAATGGAGGCTGCCACCGTGGCAGTAGTCAATGGCGAACCCAACGATTTTCTCGGTTTCCAAAACCCCTTGCAAACGCGGCAGAAGTGGGTGATCAAAACGACGTAGCACTTGCTGTTCAAACGACACCCTCTTGTACTCGCCAGAACCTTCGTCGTCGTTTTTGTTGGTCTTCGCATTCTTCTGAAGAATCAGAGCTTTTGAGATCACTTTCAGAGCCACACACTCGTTCGAAGACCGGTCACCGGTTTTCGCGAGGAACACGATACCCTTGGCGCCGCGCCCCACGGCGGAGATGACTTTGAGATTTTGAAAGTCTAGTGATCGTAAGGTGTCGTTTTGGTGGTCGTCGACGTCTTTCATGGTGCAGATGACCGGGTACCGGGAGAGAACCGGATGACTCGGGGCGCAGAATTTTAAGCTGTGATTTGTTGTGTTTAGAGAGGTTTTATAATGTGCTTTGTGGTTGTTGGTTCTTTCCTTTCTTGTTGGACAAGAAATTCATTAAACTAATGGGTTCCCCTTTATGTATTAAAAAATAAATAAATGGGTTCCCCTTTATGGGTTGAACGACGCAGCGTCATGACACGCGTAAAGCATTACGTCGTAATAATTGACTATGTATTGTTGCATGAAGAAAGATAAACAGTGGGAACGTGACCAAAAGACCGCAAATGCTAGGGTTAAGAAATGCGCGTGATATCTAGTTTCCAGGTGCTAAGAAGTGAAAGTGGTAGGAATGTTCAAAATCAATGATGCTAGAGTATATAATTACCACAAAAAAGAAAAAAACAGATGGTGGAGTATAATATAATAATAATAATAAGAGAAAGCATGTGACTATGGGTTTAAAGCTATTATTTAAGGCTAAGGTACTTTGACTACATTTTGTTCCTTTTACCACGGAAACGGTCTTTAGCTTTGTTGTTACGTTGGACAACAGTGCAGTGCCTTTTATTTTATTTTTATTTAAAAAATATAACATTTACGATGAGTTCACACTAACATAATTGTTTGATTTTTCACCACTTTTTCTTCTCACCTTCTAGGTATTTGCATTATCATATTTGAAAGAAATTCAAATACCAAAAATAAAAGTAAAGCATATATTGTCTTCAATTTATATAACATTGGTGGAGGACAATTAGAGAAGATACTGCCGGAAAATATAAATAAGAAAAGAGTGAAGTGAAGAAGAGTATTAGATGTTTGATCGAGGACTTGACCCCTGTATTCATAGAAGGACAAGCCATTGGATTTATAACTGTGGTTACATTCCGAGTACCCAAGACTAGGGTGCTATTCCCCCGAAATTTCAAAACCCCTCTTTTTTTTTCCTAATGGTGATTGTGAAGCTCATTTTCACCGCTAGAGGGTTTAACGAGTTGTGCTTTCAAGTCAGAGATAGGCTTTCTGCTGCATGATATATATTTTTGGCTAGTGGCTTGTAAAAAATAGCTAAAGAGAGGACCATCTTTGAATAGTTCCGCTTATAATCTTTCTTGTGGCATACATGCATGGGTTTTGCATATTGTATAGAGAACAAATATGGTTTGACACTTATTATAGCATACATGCATGCCGTTTTGAGTAGTGTAAGGGAATAAATATGGTTTGACAAAATGGAATAGAAGCTCATTAATAAATTGAACTAAAGTTTCTTCATGGTTTGGCAATTGGCATACATACATGTAGTTTTGCATATCGGAACAAATATAGTTTGACAAAATTTCCATATATTGTTTTTCATGTTGTAGGAGATAAGTTCCTGGGGTCCATGTTATTTTCTTTCTCTTTCTTCTCCTCATATGGACCTCACACACTTTTATGTGTGTGTAGAAGATAAATTTATCTACTACAACATGAGATACACTAAACTCATATATATATATATATATATATGGTGTAGGGTTGACAATTTTCAACACGACCTGCTATACAACACGAAAAATTCATATTTGGGTTGACCCATTTTCAAATTCGTATCGTATTGGCAAAAATTGACACAAAAAAAGTTATGCCATGTCACGTGTCAACCCGCAAATACAAAATTGACCTGTGTTAATCTTCTTACACGTTATTCGTGTGGTGTCATATCATGTCGTGTCTACATGACATTAGTAAAAGCAACATTCAATATATAGGTTATTTGTGTCTAATAGTGTTGTGTCAACTCGTAAAATTGTTAGGCTCCCTTCTTCAATGCTAAGCCCAAGCTCATTGAGGGATTTCCAAAAACCCTAAACCCTAGATTTCGTCTCCTCTATATATTCATTAGTTGTGGGTGGAGGCTAGGTCAAAAGAAGATTATTGATAAACTCTTGAGTGACACTTGAGAGATTTGTGAGTAAAGCTTTGAGCTTTGCATTTGAGAGCACCTCTAGAGAGAGTTTGAGTGAAACATCTCTAAGGAAGTTTGATTATCACCATTGTTAGAGAGATTGACTGAACCACCACTTTGGTGAAGGTTGATTCTTTATCCATTATTATCATAGTGGAAGTTTGAACTGGACTAGGTCCCGTGAATTTTTACTTCTTCATTGAAGAAGGTTTTTCCACGTTAAAATCTGCTTGTGATCTCTCTCTCTCTCTCCTTTGTGTTTTTTTGTTTTTCCGCTGCGCTGGCCGACCTGGTGAAGTTCAGGCCAAGTTCAAATTGCCAAGATCCGAGATCTAGGATCTTGTTGATTGACTTCTTCGAAAAGGCTTTTGAACCAAGTTCCAAACAGTGGTATCAGAGTCCAGGTTCGACGAGTTCTGAAGGAGACGAGATAGAGACCAATGGCATAACCCAAGACAGAGATATGTCCAAGCTAACCACAAATGATTTCACTTATTGGAGACCGATGATGAAAAATTCTCTACTGTAAAGATTTACATGAGACCATTATCCTTTATGAGAGACCGATAGGCAAAATCGATAAGGAGTGGGAGATCCTGAGCCTTAAGGCGGTAGCTACAATCAGGAAATACATAGACAAAAGCCACTTTGAGCATGTGTCCAAGTTCATGAACGCGTACGAGTTGTGGACAAAGCTGTAATCCATGATTCAGAAGAAGATTCACAGGAACAAAGTACACCTAGTTTGCCGACTTGTGAAGCTCGAATACGAAAATGGCATGAGCATGATTGAACACCTCAACGCCTAAAAAGGGATTGTGAATCAGTTGTCAAAAGCCAAGATAAAAATTGATGACGAGATCCAGGCTTTGCTGCTGCTGAGCTCACTGCCATAAAGCTGGGATACTCTAGTGGTGACTTTGAGTAATTCGACTCCAGAAGAAAAATTGAAGATGGATGTCGTAATAGATAGTTCCCTGAAAAAGGAAGCCATGAGAAGAGAATGAGGTGTTTCCAGCACGTCTGAGGCCAACATTGCTGAGAACATAGGGAAATTCGACTTTCGGGGTGAAATAAGAGCCGGGGTCGAGATCGTGACAGACGAGAACAGTCCAGAGGCCGGTCAAAGCCGAAATATGAGTTGAAGTGCTTCTAAATTAGGAAGCCAGGTCATAGAAAGCAAGATTGCAGGACTCTGCAGAATGACAAGAAGAATGGCTCTGTGAAGCCAGACCAGATTATTCCCAAGAAGAAGAAAGACAAGAGTACCACTGCGGTGGCTGCCAACTCGGATGCTGAGATATTTTTCCTCGAAGAAGGCAATTATTTAAATATTGCATATGATGATTGCCCATGGATTGTTGACTCTAGTGCCTTCTTCCATGTTACTCCACATAAAGGTTTTTTTTCATCTTACCGAGGTGGTGATTTTGGAGTCGTGAAGATGGAAAATCAAGTGACTAGCAAGATTATTGGTGTCGGTGATGTGACTCTGACCATGGATGTTAGATGCTGACTTGTGTTGAAAGATGTAAGGTATGTTCCTAACATGCGATTAAACCTAATCTCGCTAGGCAAGCTTGACGATGCCGGGTTAGTGAACTACTTCGATAGTGATAGATGGAAGCTGTTCAAAGGAAACTTGGTTGTTACCCGAGGTAAGAATGAAAGCTCCTTGTGCGTGACGCATAGAAAGATAAATGGTGGAGGAGCCAATTCTGTTCGAGATGGGCATAGCTTGGAGCTGTGGCACAAGCGCCTCAGCCATATGAGCGTGAAAGGGCTCCAAACCTTAACAAGAAATGATTATTGACTGGGTTGAAAAGCTAAGCGTTGGAGAGTTGCACACACTGTCTAGCTGAAAAGTAGCACTGGGTTTCTTTCGTGAAACCAGATCAACCCATAAGACGCATGTATATTCTTGACCTCGTCCATACTGATGTCTGCTCCATGTCGAAGAGATCTCTTGGAGGAGCTCAGTACTTTGTTTCATTCATTGATGACCATTCTCGCAAAGTGTGGGTTTATTTGTTGAAATATAAATACCAGGTACTCCAATCCCTTAAAGAGTTTCATGCTATGGTTGAAAGGGAGACTGGAAAATAATTGAAGGTGGTCCGATCTGACAATGGTGGTGATTATTACGGCCCATTTGATACATATTGCAGAGTGGTCGGGATCCTACTTGAGAAGATACCCCCAAAGACTCCACAGTTGAATGGACTGGCTGAGAGGATGAACCGAACTATTGAAAAAAAGGTCTGAAGTATGTTATCCAATGCCGAATTGCCGAAATTATTATGGGGAGAAGCCGTCACAACTGCTGTTGACTTGATCAACCTCTCACTATCACGGCCACTTAAAAGAGACATGCCAGAAGAAGTCTGGACAAGTCGTAAAGTGGCCTGTGATCACCTGAAGGTGTTTGGATGCCGAGTTTTTGTGCATATCTCTAAAGATGAAAGGGAAAAACTCGACACAAAGACAAAGGAATGTATTTATCTCGGTTCACCAAAATCTAAGTTTGGTTTTCAACTTTGGGATCTAGTCAATAGAAGATAGTGAGAAGTCGAGATGATATCTTTCATGAATATGAGATCATTCATGACATCTCGAAACCCAAAGTCCAGGTTACTGCCAAACGTGAAGAATCCATCCCTCCTAGTCAAGCTGAAGCAGGCGGAGAAAATGAAAAGAATGAAGAAAATGATGACCAGCAACAAGCTGATAATGACCAAGATAATGAGGTCCGAGTTGATGATGAGATTCAGGATGAGAATGAAGAATCAAGTTCTCAAACTGAAGAACAGTCGAGATATCAACTCGAGAAAGAAGACCCTCTACAAGGTACCCACCTGATGAATACATCGTTGATGCTAAAGATGGTGAGCCTTAGAGTTATGATGAGGTAATGAAGAACTCAGACAAAGAAGAATGGGAGAAGGCAATGCAAGACTAGATGAAGTCTCTGCATGAAAATCAGAATTATGAGCTAACTGAGTTGCCTGAAGAAAGACGAGCTCTGAAAAATAAATGGATCTACAAGATTAAGAATGAAGAAAACGGGC